AGTCACTGTAATTGCTCTAGCAAAACTGAGGAATCAAATAAAACGTGTTTGCAAATTGTAAATCACTCCGGGAGGCTACTTCAGACGGGTCCAAACCTGACATCGAAGGTCACAGCACCTCTCTGGGGGCAGGCAGACACCTCTGATGCCACCTTGCTCTCCGGGCAGGGGTTATGCCGCACGTCCAGTCGAGACCATTGCCCAACGGACCCGAGAGAAGGGCCGCCATAATCAGCCGAGTTTCCTCACCAGCACGATGTCCTGGAGGGCACCGGGAGAGCGCTCCGGTTGGCTCGGGAGGGAGGTGGGGGGTGCTCCCTGAGGCCTCCGTGGCTGGGCAAGAAAGGGACAAAGGCTGCTCAGGGAGGAGAGGCTTTCTTTCTGGTGAGAGGCTGGCGGCTACTGGCCAAGGCGCAGAAATACCATCAGATGTAGAAGGCTTGGGACAGGCTGTGATGGCTTCCTTGAGGCCCTGTCTGGATCACTGGGTGACATGCCCTGGCCCTAGGCCACCGGGTTGGGCCACTGGTGATCCTGTCCTCGGTCCCTCAATATTGACTTTGCCGGTCATCCTGGAGTGGGGACAAGAGGAGAGATACAAAGAAACCGTCTTTGAGGTTTAGACCTTCACAGCAGAAACGCCGTGATCCCGGCTGCCCATATGTCTGAGCAGCTTTGGCAAGCTTGGGGCATCCTGCACTGCCCGTCCCCAGCCCTCTCTTCTCTTCCAGAAAGCCCGCCTCCTCCTGTCCACCCTCCCTATGGAGCTGACCATCTCCTGGGGCCTGGCTAGCCCCTGCTTCTGGTGCTAAACTAATCACACGGAGGTGTTGAGGATTATCTAGAACCAGATAGATTACCTTTCTTAGGCCTTTCGTTGCTCCCATAATGGTGAACCCTGGTCCCTCGAGCCCCTCGGGAGGACCTCAGGCCAACCCAGTGGACCCTTGTGTGGAAAGGAGGGAATGAGGATGTTTCTTAAGCAAGGAGAGAGGGGAGTTGCAGAGAGAGCCATGCATTCAGACACATGTGTTGAAGGCCTGCCGTAGGCCAGACGCAGGCCAAATTCAGCAGGAAGCCAAGAAAGGCAGGATCCCAGGCAAGTTCATGTCATTTGGCTCCAGGAGTTCATGGTGACCTTGGGGAGAACAGTTTCCAGACAGGGTGAGGGTGAAGGTGGAGGGTGGGGACAGGGAAGATGAAGGTCAGAAAGTGGCTCTCTGGGTACATAAAAAGCACAAAGGATGTTTAAAAAAAAACACTTTCTATCCCACCTTGATCGCTCTAAGAAAACTATGTATCTTTCAGCTGGCCTCAGGTGGGCCTCCAACCATGGTCTGAAGAATGGGGATAAGGAAGGGTCTAAAATAAAATAAAATAAAATAAAATAAATAAAAAAGTAAAATAAAATAAAGTAAAATAAACAGGACTACTTCCATTCCCTAAAAAAAATAAAAGGGTCCTACTTCTTGGCTCTGCCCAGAGAGGGCTTCAGAGCAATAGCAGATCCTTTTCCTGTAGTCTTTGTCCAGCCCCTGGGGGCCCCTGAGGGTAGCCAGGTAGTGTGAACCCCCGTGCCCTGCTCCCCTAGCAATCATGTCTGCTTCTGAGAGCCCAGCTGGCCTCCTTGCCCTGAGCGCCCACCCACTCTGCAGTCAAAGGGGGACCTCTAGGGTTCAGGCCCCATGGGGTGCCAACACCATCTTCTGCTGTTCCCTGGCAAGGGCGGTGGGCTTGGGCACGGCGAAGGAAGAGAAAGGGGATCTTTGGAAGGTATCGCGTAGGGAGGCCTGTTCCTAGTGGGTGGGGCCAGAAGGCTAGAAAAATAATAAATAAAAACAAAAGTGGAGGGAAGCAAAGCTCTTGGGTGCCAGAATGGGGCTGGCTGAGGCTGTGACTGCATGAGTAATGGGTTCCACATTTGTCTGGCTCCATCTGCAGTGACCGGGATTCAGGATGCACAGTGGGCCCTGCAGGAGGCTGGCGGGGAGAGCCCAGCTGTAGCCAGATCTAGGCATCCCCCTGAGATGGCCCCATCCCCGGCTGGCCACAGCAAGGCTGAAGCATTGGTGCGAGCTCACGCTCCTGCATCGCAGCTTCCCCCCCTGCCCCCGCCTGCAGCTCCTGGGTCCCTGCCGGCCTACACAGATTGTTCGCGTTATTAATGCCGTTTTCCCAGAGATTCCATCTGGCTTTTTAATTGCTCTGGGATGGGGCTAGGATGCTTTGATAGTGAATTGGTATCTTTCCTATGTCTCTGCTTACGTCAAATGCTCCATGCACAGAGAGGGGCTGGGGGAGGGGAGAAGTGGGGGGGAGGCATCAAGAGAAGAGAGATAGTATCATCTTTCACAGAGACAAGAAAGATCTTTCAAAGGTGCTGGTGGTTTAATTCTATTTAAGGAAAAGACGAGAAAGGCCTTCCCCACCCGCCAATATAGGAAATAAACAGATGGGACAGAGCCACCGTCCAGGCAAGGACCCTACCCCGTGTCTGCAGAAGGGCTGTGGGTGCCTGGAAGGACAGGCCTCACGGATGAGCAAGGTCAGGGTTTCTGCTCTCCCTTGACTGGCTTCCCTTTCTCTCCCCACTGCCCTCTCTCCTCCCATGAAATCAGCAGCTTCTGGAGGAGGCCTGGCAGGTTCCTGCCTGGGAAGGAGGGGGCGGGAGACCTGGGAGGGGCAGACACTCCTCACCAGTCCCAGTGGCTCATCACAGGTGTCAGGGCCAAACCCCATGTTCACAAATTCCCAGGAGATCCAGGAGATAAGGGTGACATCGTGACGGTGCTAAACCATCAGGAGGCATCTGGCAGCAAAGGAGAACCTCCCTCTCTCCCTTTTACCTTTGCTTCTTCCCTGGAGGCTGGCTCCTCTGAGCAGCGCTGATCTCAGGGGCCACCAGGCTCAGGTGGCCCACCAAGGGGGCGAGGTCCCTGCTACCTCTCCTGAGAGAGTACAAGGCAGAGGCATCCAGGCATGTTGGACTGGGTCCATGACCAGGTCTTGGACCAGACCGCTGCCTCCAGGAATCCTTCCCTGGTGGCGTCTAGACACACTTTGAGCTTCCCTTTATTGCACTTGTCACCCTTAAAATACATCTTGGGACCACAAGACTGTGAGCTACGGAGAGTAGGAGCCAAGTCTGTTTGTCTCCAGCTGAGTGACCCATCCTTGGCACAGGCCCTGGCACCCAGTAGACTTCCAATAAATACTTGGGGTGTGTTCAGTGCCAGGCTCTTGGAGTGGTTCTTCACAAAGGCTGCAGTCAGGAGGGGAACCATGGGGGCCCTGCAGGAAGCAGTGGGTGGCAAGGAGCAGCTCTTCCCCGGGGGCCCCTCTGGCCAGGCACAGAGCACATGCCGGGTAGGTTCGCCCCACACTGCCCCCTCCCCTTGGCCAATTGCTCTGTCCCCTGGGGGCCCCTGCTGGCCCCATACCTTCCCTAGGGTTGGCTTTGGTTGGATCTGTCTTGTCCCCAACAAAGTCTGCCCTGGACCTCAGGGTCTACAGTAGGAGGGGTGCCCCTTTGTAGGCTGACAGCTTTGAAAGAGGAAACCCGGGAGATGAGGCAGTGGGAGGGGAGAGGGAGGAGGGCAGGCAGGAGGGGTGGCCCTCCCCTGCTCATCCTGGGATCTGTTCTGGGGGCAAAGGGGGAGGCTGAGGTTTGGCCCCCTCAAACAAGAAAAACTGGAATTAGCACTGAACTCAGAGAGGGTTTGCTGGGGCCTAGCAAGCCGTGGCCTGCCCTAGGCCTTAGGCAGGCAGTGGGGCTCTGCCTCTTTGGTTCCCAGGGCGGTGGGGCAGGCAGCTGCCTCCACACTGGGCTCGTGGCCTTTCCTCGGCCAAGAGCGGCCATGGGCAAGGAGGCAGCAAGACACAGGACAGAGAGGGCGGGGGCCGGGGCGGGAAGGGGGCAAGGTACCCCTGTTAACCACACGGGGCAGGAAAAACTAAAGTTTTCAGAGTTGAAAAGGAGTGTGTAATTTCTTGAAACTGTCCCAGCCCACATTGGCATCCGTGGTAAGCTGCTCCAGTGAATCCTCCGGGGGTGAAAATAGAAGGTAAAGAGTGTCTGCCTTTTACCCTCAGCGAGAGTAAACTCTGAAAGCCCAGCCAGCCTCCTGTGCTACTTCCTGCCAGGCCTGATTCTATCAGGCGTGAGTGTGGGCCCCTCTGGTTGGCTATCACTGCTGCTGAGGGGTTGCCGGGGTGCCTGTCCTCCTAGGGCAGTCGTCTGAGTGGGGACGTGGTCCAGGGTGGGCACAGTGGGGAGAGTGCGTACTGGTGATGGCTCCTTGCCAGGTGGTATGGGTCAAGGACCACATACTCAATGCGGGTCCCCTTCCGGGGGGCTGGCTGGGACAGGGCAGGCATGGAAGGTGGGGCGGAGGGGTGCTCGGCCTTCAGGCTGCCCTTCGGGGCCCTGCTGGGGTAGGCTACAGCCATACAACCCAGAGCAAGTGGGGAGGGGCAGAGAGGCCTCCTGCTTGAGGCCTCCCCCTGCCCTCCCAGGGTCCTGCTGGTGGGGAAGGCAGGACGGGTATGAGCAAGGCTTCTACAGAGCTAGAGCTGTGAGTGATCTAGAAGCAAACGTGGCCGAAGGGCCCCCGGAGCCTGGAGCCACCAGCCAGACCTGTTCAAGTCCCAGAGAGCCCGTGGCAAGGTCAGGCAGAGGGGTCCTTCTCTGAGTGCCTCTGTTCCTCTCAGGGGCCCAGGAGAGGCCACACCAAGGCCCTGTGAACCCCCCTCAAACTCGCCCCCTGGGAGACTCTCGCCTCAGGCTTTGGGCTTTCTCAGCTTGGAGCCTGCCCTCCTTCTGCCGTTTATTTGCCTTGGTTGGGAGAAGTCACCCCCTTAATGTAAAGAGGGGCTCAGGATGGGAGAGCTAATGAAAGTCAGGATCTCAGCCAGAGAATACGCAGTGATTATTTACAAATGTGACCTGGCCCACAGAAAACATTGGAAGTAGCTTTTCTGGTTTTAAAAAGACACCAAAATTTACTTTGATATGTTTATATTATAGATATAATACATAAAACATCTAGCATGAAACTCTACGTTCTCCCCAAAGGAGAGAACCAAGCTGTCCTTCCCTGCTCCCAGCCCCAGCAATCTATGCATGCTGGCTGGAGGCCGCCTCCCTTCCAGACCAGGAGCCAGGGCCTCTGGGGGGACAGGCCTGTGGGCGGCCCAGGCCGGAGGGCACCGAGGCCCACAGCCCCCCCACCCCCCAGGGAAAGAGGAAGCCCACCTCACCTCTTTGGTTCCCCTGGGAGCAAAAGCAATCCCCCAAAACCAAAAGGAAAGAGAGCCGCAGACCCTCCCTGCAGCTGCTGACAAAGAGTCTCATTTTGGCAAGTATCTGAGCAAAACCAAAACAAAACAAAAACCAAATAAAATGGTGGTTTAACATAGACGTGCACATTCACATTGCACAAGGCACCGCTGGGACAGAGAGGCCAGATACAAGTGTTGATATCGGCTGATAAAGCAAAATATTTGGAAAGCTTCTCATAACTTCGGTCCCTCTGGGATGGACAGATTGTGCTTCATGTTTGTAGGGCAATGCTGGCAACATACAGTACAAGGCTGATGGTCCCAGGGTCCCTTCACCCCCCCCCCCCACCCTGGACCAGAGCTCTAGGTGTCCCTGCGCCACCAGGCTGCCACTCCCATGAACACATGTCCGGAGAACTAATCCCTGTCCTAGCTTTCTGGTCTGACTGGGGGCAGGGGGCTCCCACCGGTCACCCAGTGACCCCCATCTAAGTGCCTCCCTGTTGCAGGCTGGGAGATTAGAAGCAAGGAACTAGGGACCCTCCACCTTCGTGTAGAACTGGGGGAACAACCTTCCAAGTCCCTGTATTTCCTCCCTTCCAAGGACAGGCGCTGGAGGAGCGGTAGGGCTGGCTTGTCAGGATCTCTGCTCCCTGAACCTTCCTCCTGCCGTGGGCCTGCACATTGCCTTCTCTCCTGGGGGCCTGCCGCCTCAGAAATGAGGCAGGAACCCTCCAGATAAAATGACAAGGCACATATTTGCTCCCCCTACTCGGTAGGAATCGGAGCGGTGAGTTTGCGTTTCCAAGGCACAAGGTTATTCCTTAATACTAGAGTTGCCGGGGTTCCCGGCTCAGCCCCACAGCACTTCTCCTCTCCTGCAGGGAGAAACCATCGCCTGACCCCTCATCTTAGACGCACCGAATCTGGCGCGGAGGAAGGCAAGGGGCGCGCGCGGTAGGCCAGCCTTTCTGGCCGCACCGGAATCTCCTAGTCCCGGCTTGCGCCGCTGGGCCAGTCTTGAGATCCGGAGACCCGAAACCATTCCCTGGGTCGCAGCCGGCGGCCGGCCCAGGGCGGTCCCGCCGCCCCGCGCCTCACGCGCAGTTGCCCATGGCCTTGACCAGGGAGCTCTCGGGCAGCTGGCGGAAGATACCCCGCAGCGTGTCCAGTTCGCGGCTCAGCTGTTCCACCCGCTTGCGCAGACGGTCATTGTCACTGGTCAGCTCCAGCACCTTCTGCTGTGTCTCCACGTTGCGCTGCTTGGCCTTGTCCCGGCTCTTGCGCACGGCGATGTTGTTGCGCTCGCGCCGCACCCGGTACTCGTTGCTGTTCTTGTCCACCGACTTCTTGACTTTGCCCGCGCCGCCGCCGCCCGCGCGGAGGTCGGGGTGCGCAGCGGCTAGCCCCTTGAGCGCGCCGCCAGGGCCTGGCAAGCCAGCGGGGCCGAGAGCCGGCGCTGGGTGAGGGCTGGGCACGGGCGTGGGCGGCGGCGTGGGGTGGCCGGGCTGCAGGTGCATGGTGGTCTGGCCGCAGTGCGCGATCTGGAACTGCAGGTGCGGGGCGGCCAGGTGCGCGGGCGGCGGGTGCGGGTGCGGG